CTGTGATAATCATGTTTAAAAAATTATTATAATCAAGAGGAAAATACACCTTCATCATTTCCATACCCACTCCCCTTTACTGTAAATATTGTAAAATTCCTCTTTAATGCCACTGTCCTGCCTCTGCTTCAGTTGGTCATTGGAAAAGAGGTGCTAATTCAGCATTGTGAAGGGCAAAGAGTTGCCATCCGCCATCTCCAGTAACAGATGGAGGCCTTTAAAAGCCAGTTTGCTCTGGGCATTAAACATGCCAGAGCTGCAACATTTGATTCTTTCTCTTTTGGAGAGAGTAAATGTGTCAGACTGGAATATAACAGGCTTTGGTCTTCCATGGCTATGAAGAAGTACAAAATCTGCCCACTGTTGCTAATAACTGACTATAAAGATATGTTTTAAAAGATGCCTGCCTGCAGCTATAAATATAAGCAAGTATTTTAGAGGCCTTTTTATATGAAAAGAACCTTTCACAAATAAAAATATTTGCCATCAGAAAATGATGTCTTCAAAATGGCTTTATGGAATCATAGAAGATTATGTGAGAGATAACGAGAGCATTTAAATATTCTTCACTTTGATACTTTCTCCTCAGCTTTTGATGATCATCCTTTAAGGTTTTTCAGATCCTAATTTTCTGAGAGAGAGAGTTGAGATGAAGAGATACTTAAAAAGGCAATTTTATTTCTTCTCTGTGTGTCATGTTGTCTGGAGCTCCCGTTTCAGTCCAGAGTGTACATGAGGTCAGATCCTGACCTGCTATTCAAATGTTATGTGGACTCTGGACTCTAACACTGTCCCTGGGATTTAAGATGTACACCACATTATTTTGCCATTCTTTTGCTACATTTGGATATATATTTCACAAGATATCTTTATATGTGTTAAATATAATCAAGTTTCCTGTTACTTCTTTCCATCAGTCTGGAAGTATTTTCTGATGAGGAAACCTTGCTGATCATTCCACATGCCACTGTAAATAAGGCTATTCTAAAAGTGAACTACATTCAGTAAGTGGAAATTGCTGTTATAGAATAGTTGGTATCACATAGGAAGGAAGCTGAGTATATCAAATGGCAGAATGTACCTTTTTCTTAAACAAAGCCATACTAATATACTTCCCGGTATGTTTCAAAAGACTTTCCTTGCATAATATGCACTGATGTCTTAGCCACACAGATACTAAAACTGAAATAGAGACATTTTAAGATGATATGGCAAAGTAGGATGTCAGTGTTTTCTGTGTTTAGCTGGACTGCTATCATGGTGGTGCACATTTTACAAAGGAAGAATGCTTTGGGAAGAACACCAGTTTCTTTACATCTGATTTTATCACATTATCAAATATGGATACAGAAGATTGTGAAGGATATGCTATTAGATGAGTTAGTGCAAAATCATTTAGTAACCATTTTCCTTCTTAGGCTTTATTCATCCACAGGAGCTCAAAGGCTTATTAATACTGAACCAAAGATGTTATTTTTCTGTTCCCATGGGCTGTCTTTTATAGTGGCCAGAATTGTGACTGTGTGGTGAAAGCCACTTTGTTGTTACACATGTTTTGCAGTAAGAGGGTCATTAATGACATATGGCCTTTTGTGATGCCTGATGGAAACTAAGGCTCAACCAGTCCCTTGTCTCTTACCTCGTCACAAGTAATGAGCAGGTTGTGATAGAATTTACGTGGTAGCAAAGAGCAATTGAGGAAAAGAGAATCTGTCTCCAATCTGAATTGAGTACAAAGGTGCTTTTCCTCCTTCCTGTATTCATTCCACTCTATTCCATGCATACCTGAGTATGGAGTAACCACAGATCTTATCCTTTTGCTCTTGTTTGGAGGCATGACATCCTCTTTTTCAAGCTATCTATGACTGATGATATTTTCCTAGTCTGGCAACTGCCAAGTTTGTATTTTATTAGGCAAGACCAGTTGCCTTCCATGTGTTCAGCCGAATTCGTGTTCTTTATTCCTTTCAAGACAGATGTTTGGGTTAGTACTGGGGTATGGAAATGTGATCGGAGGAGGCACATCTTAAACTTACCATAAGCTCATAGAGAGTCATGTGAATTTTCCTCAAGGATATGAAGAGCATTGAAATTGCTTGATTCACAGGGTAAAAAGATTCCAGAGTAAAATGTTCTTAATTGTTTTTAGAAAGGGGAAATTGAACTTCAAAGTATTCAAAACCCCATAGCCTTTTAAGTGATTCTAAATCACAGGGGTGCTTTAAAATATAATTTCACTGTAACTTGAATTTTAATTGCCTGCCCCTTCCTTTTGCTGTCATGGTACTTTCATCCTCTCTGTTTTCCTGAAAGAGAGTGTTGTTATTGCTGTTTATTTTAAGAAATCCACTCAAATTTTTCCTGCAGCGCTGCAAAATTTTAGGGAGGGATATGTTTTAGTATTCTACGTTATTAATATTTTTTTATATCTCTGTAATTAAAAAAATGAAGTTTTAATGACTGTTCTTCTCTAAACCCTGGACTTTTGCATTTCTAGCCTAAGAAGCTGAGGATAGTCAATGGCAGGTGCAGTCAGAATATTGCTGCAGCCCCACAACTTATCATTTTTTTAACATTATTCAAATTAGGCTCTGCACTCATAATTCTGTTGTTTCCTTTATTGCTGTTGTAAAGCAAATGGTTCTTTTATACAAATGTTATCTCCTGGCTATTAATTCAGCAGTTATTTTGGATTATGGCACTCCTGTTAAATTTAGGAATGTAAAACCTCATAAATATTTAAAAGTTTCAGACTGACGTGGGAAGAAATTGTTTTTGACTTGCTTTGTTAATATGCTGTTGTTCAATTTGTAATAGATTTGGAATATATTGTTATTTTTCCACTGTTTGGCAAATGGAAAAACAATTTTAGTTGAGCAACTGCTTCACGTATTCTACCCTGAATTGCAACAGGCTGATAAAATTGCTGGTTTCCAGAAAAAATAGCAAGGAAAAGATCTGTTTTTCTTTTAGAGGCCAAAAACTCTGATCCCACTTCAAAGTTAATGAAAATGCAGTAGTAGGTTTGTAAAGATTGTTTTGATAAACAATTTCGAAAAAATCTACTCACAATCAAGTGCTTCTCTTTCAGCTTGTTATTTAAGCTTTTCACTAAGGAGCTAAGGAGAATGATGTAAATGTGTTTCCTCCCAAAAAATGGATTATATTGAGATGTTTTTTCTATCCAGTGAGTGTGTTCATGTGTTGCACTAAGATTAATGTGCATCTCCAGTATCCCCCAAGTCTTTGAAGAATAACTGAATGATAAAAAAGTCACAATTTCTGTAAGATTGCTGAAGATCTGGCCAGCAGTCTCTGGGCCAGCATTCCTGCTGCACACCTAACCCTATTTTCTTTCTTTGTCTTGGAAGTATAGACATAGTTTTTCAGATCTTAAAGGGTATTAAGGTGTAACTCCTGTTAGGATCAGCTAGAAGTATTCCAAATATTTCATTGATTACTCAAAAAAAAGATGCTGAATTGATTCAGCCTGGGTAAGTATATTAGCAGACAACTTGAGTGTGCAGTTAACAGAACTTGCATCTCTGCCTGCATGCTCCAGAGGTTCTTAAGCTATGTCCTGGGATGACACTTGACTTGATGGGTTTGCTGATTTCCTGTATCAGTTTAACTCCCTGGCACAGTGCCATGATTTTCTGAGGTACTGGTGCGCTTTACTGGGTACTGAACCAAAAAGACTTTTCTTCTACCTAGCCAGTAAGTTAAAACCACAATGTTAATACTATTTTATGACAGGTTTACACCATCTTCTCTCATGTGGTATAGCTACAGACCTTAATCTCCGCATAAAGTAATTACTGAGGTGGCACTTGGTCTTCAGCTGAAAGAAGATTTTTACATGTCAGTTATTTGTAGTTAGAGTGCAGTATTTCAAAACACAAGTAGAACCTGTAACAGTCAAGGTGAACTTACATTACAGTTCCATGAACTAATTGGTATTTTATGCAAGTGTGTAGCTGGATGTTCCACACCAGCTGTGTCCATGTGATTGTAACTAATTCAGCATTGTCCAGATCATAGCCTGTGGGCTGGATCCAGCCCCTTTGAGAGGCTTCTACCTGACCCCTCACCTTCTCACTGCAGGAGCTGGGGTCAGATGTTCCTTCAGTGAATGCACCCCCTGCACCTGTGCTCTCTAGAGACGTGAGCAGCAAGTCTGAAGGAGCATAAGGAAGGTGAAATAAGCCTGGGAGGTTTGTCAGCACCTCTGCCTGGCTCATGCAGGTGCTGCCACTGAGCAAGCCACAGCACATCTGTGTGCTCAACTAAATCATCAGCCAGACCGGCACACATTCCTCTGTTTGTGTGTGCAAGAGCAGCTCATTCCTCTCTTAAAAACCAAAGTCCCTGTTACACACACAGAGCAAAATGCAAGGCTTTTGCTGCTGTTCTGTTGACTTACTATATAGTCAGCATGTTGAAATTTTTTTTATTTTACTTTGGAGAATACTTCTGCTAAACATTTCTTGTATTCCTCTTCTTCTGGTTCTGTGTGTGTAGTGAACAGTGTAAAGCAAAGGGCACTTGTATGCTTATGATTTGAAGGATTTGGATGAAGAAATTCTGCAGAGCAGTATATTTACTTTGCATTTCTAAATGGTAGCAATTATAACTCCCAGCTTCTGGCTATCCAGATGTTTCTTGCATTACAGCACTGTAATTTGCATTGGAATATATTGTGTTACTGCAGTGGCAGTAAAGTGGTCAGCTTCCAGTCTAAATGCTGTATCTGGGCTCCAGTTGGGATGGTGAATATATTTCCTGCTCATACCAGGTTCTTTTCCTTCCCACTGTTTCCACACTCTATTAGTTTGACGTGTTTGTGTTTCTCAGATGAAGACTTTTACTGCTCAGCATTTGAATCAAGCAGGGGATGTATTGGCAGGTCAGAACTGATGTACAGTTTGTTTCTTGTAAGAGTGAAAAAAAGGAAAAAAGACTGAAGTTTTGAATCAGAAATTTCCCTTTGGCATTTTCAGGCAGCAAACATCCCTCTGGTGTCAGAGCTTGGCATTGATGATATCCATTTTGATGACTTCTCGCTCGATGTGGATGCCATGATTACTGCAGCCCTGCGGATGTTCATGGAACTTGGAATGGTTCAGAAATTTAAAATTGACTACGAGGTAACCATCTGCGCTGCAAATATCTGCTGCTTTGGTGTTGGCACTGCTCTGTCCATTTGTACACATTTAGTAGCCCTGCTACAAATTGTACTTTTAATTTCAGACACTGTGTAGGTGGCTTTTGACAGTGCGGAAGAACTATCGAATGGTTTTGTATCACAACTGGAGGCACGCTTTCAACGTCTGCCAGCTGATGTTTGCCATGTTAACTGTGAGTATCCAGCTACACAGCCCTGTAAGAGCTTTTACTGCCACACTGCCTAACCTGTCTAAACATTTTCCAGCATTCAATTTCTTTTCTAGTTATTATGCTACTCATTTCCAATAGCAAAGCAGACAGAACTTATCCAACTTAAGGCAGCACATATTTGGCAAAACCTCATAGTGTTTTAGTGACAGTGATATCATAGGCACATTAAAGTGACTGAAAACAGATGGCAGTCTTGGAGTGCTCTTGTTATTACAGATCTTGATCTTATAAAATGTTTTTCTTTTGGAACTCTTTGATTTGACATTTATTTCAAACTTGTAATTGGGAAGTACAAACCCAAGGATTAGAATCCCAAAGTATTTATTGTGTTGATACTTATTATCTCCTTACCCAGCTTCATCTAAATAGTTTTAGAAGGTACTGCCTCAAAACATTTGAAAATTATCTTCCAGCATAGTGATCAAAGTGAATCTTGAGTCTCCACTGGGCACTGTTAACACTTAGGGGTTTTATTAACATGCATCTCCAGCAGTACCTGTAGCGCCTTTCAGCACACAAGTAAATTCTGCAGAAATTTCAAGTAAATTCTGCAGAAAGTATCACTGCTAATATACATACAAGTATATTGCTCTCTTTCCCTACCCCACAGCAACCTCGCTGCCTGAAATAACCCACGCCTGGCTAGTTCATTCTTGTAAATGTACCAATAAAAAACTCAGGGGTTCTGGACTCCATAACTTTGTGTGTTGGGCAAGAAAAAAAGACTCTGACTTCTCCTAGCAGGTGAAGGTGTTGTTCTAGTGCTGGGTCCCTCCCAGCAGGGTGGGTGTGTTTCTGTGAGTGTTGCTGGAGGCATAGTGAGGCTGTACCATGCACCATGAGACAAAGGACAGGAAAACGTTCGACAAGAGAACGGTCACCTCTTCCTCTGGGCATGAGGCTGCTCAGCTGTGCAGAATTAATATTTTTTTCAGCAGGCACTTGCTGATGCTCTCTAAGGAAATTTGGTGGTAATGCCTGGGTGTCGGTAGCTTTTATGGCTTTATAAACCTGACATGCTTTTTTTTTTTTTTTTTTCCCAGTTGTAGGGAAAGGAAAAGCATTTTATCTGATGAGTACGGGCAAATGCGAGCTGGGTGTGAATCACAGTAATTTCTGCCGAGGCTGCCGGGGCGGGGAGCCCCCAGCCCAGCGGTGACACCCCTAGGTGGAGCTCCGAGGCCAGGTTTGCGGCACGCTGCTCTGCCGGGGGGACCAGGCACGGCCATCCGGGCTAGCAGAGAGGAGGCAGGGCCCTGCTGCTCCAGCAGCCACAGCCGCCTGCCCGGCTCCACCGACAGATGCTCTGAGCGCGTAATTGCAGAATCCTTTCTGCAGGCAGCACAGGGATGCAACTGTTTGTGAGATGTGAGCCGGCATTTTTAAGCCAAGTTCGTTTCCTTGCCCACGCTCCTGGTAATAACAGAATGGGCAATTCCATGTGCAGGGCTGGATGTGAGTGGCCACAGCCCTGGAGTCTCCACAGATCCCACCCCGCTTTGCTCTGGCTCTGGCTGAGAACAAAGCTCAGGTGCGTGATCTGTTTGGTTTGCTCTCCCTTCCAGAAACAGGAGATTCATTTTGTTCAAAAAAAGACACGAAAGAGAGACTTGAGATTAGTAATACTTCAAGGCTTGCTCCTACTGCGTTTGTCTTGGAGATACCATCCAATTTAGCGTGTGTCTCCTTTTTTCACTGGAAAAAAGGGGAAAATTCTTTGACAAACCCTTTGAAGGGCTTATCAGAGCCCTTCTCTGCCCGTCAAGAAGGCACTACTTTGTGCAGTTATTGCATCTTATTTCTGAATTCTCCATGATAGTCAGCAATATAGACTGCCCCACAAATAGAAGCCAGTAATTCTATTTTAGGGCATTTTCAGGTAGGATTTACCATAGCATAGTGATGTCTAACCTGCAATGCAGTAGCCTCTAAGAGCCCCACCATACTCCCACTGAATGCACAAGGAAAATCCAGCTGTGTTGAACAAGCCAAACAACAAAAATTCAACAAAGAGTAAACCAAAGTTGTTTCACTCCTGGTAAACTCAGCCTTTTGAATATCTAAAGCACGTTCCTGTATACCTAAGTATGTATTTTCTCTCTCCTGAACAATCATAAGCCCAGTTCTGCAAGCCATAATTCTGTGTTTCAGATGCCCAAGAATTCTGAAGACAAGCATTGCAGCCAGGCTGCTCTTGCAAGTCAAGGGAGTACATGAGAGTAAAGTGCAAGATCAAGCCCAGGCTATTTTAGCAGTGCCTTTGCCAACACAGTTCACATTGATACTTATTTCAAAGGGCAAAAATGAACAACTAAGCAATACCAAATTAAAATCCCATCTGGTGTGCTAATAACAAAACATATAGATGTGGGGCAAGGTATAATGAATGCAATTCATTTCCTCACATGAAAGAATGACCTCCATAACTCACTGGAGACTCTGCCACTCATGAGTTATGGGTCATTCCTTTTCTGGTGAAAATAAATTTTACTGCACCATCATCTATAGCCATGTATTTTTTTTTCTCTTGTAAATTCAGAAATGTGGAAACGTAATCCTTTGTTTACTTGCATTATGTTCAAAGAAGATATCTCCTTACTGTAGTATTTTTTAAATGAAATGCTTTTTTACTATGTGACATGTGCTAAATTTCTTTCATATATTCAGTAACAAGACTTTTCATTAAATAAAATGTGGCATTTATTTTTGAGATATTGCTACTGTTAATAAATTCCTTAATTGGTTTCCCTGCATTTGCAATACAGGTTGAATCCTTGAATTTAATCAAAGCTTGGATTGCACTAAAGAATATTTATTACAACATCAATTTCATATTATAAAACTTCTCTTTCAAGTTATTTTAACTTAGGCATGAATATTTTTTCTAGACTGAAACTTGACACATGGTGTGTTGTCAGTTACAAACTATTTTTAATCCCTTTTTATAAATAGACCTTTATTATTGTTATACAAGAGCTATGTTTAAAAAAAAATAAAAAGAGAAAATGCTATTTTTGGAGGATTTTTTCTACTTGGGCAGATGTTACTGAAACTAAAACAAAAGCAATACCACTAGAAATCAGGTGAACCTCTTTCCTAATATTCAAGTTATTCTGTACATTGTGGATTCTACACAAAATTAATTAATCTTGTTTTTCTTCATACTTGATCATTTTTTCTGCTGTGTAAACTTTAAGCAATTATAAAAATTTCATAGCAAGTCTTGCACTTCCTCAATTCCCACTGAAGTGCATTCCTGAGCACCTGGGGGAGCTTGGCTGCCTGTACTGCCCAAGAATTAACTGTGGCCACATTTCAGACTGTCTAAACAGAGAACACTTAGATTTGAATGTGTATTTCTCTTAAGTAGAATTTATGGTCTTCAGGGTGAATAGCAGAGCTTTCAGAGAGTATTGCAGCAATTGGCTGGTGTTTTCTGAGATACACTTAACAGTAATGTATGTTCCTACCAAGGAAGGGCAACAAGTCCCACTGTATCACTTAAAACCTCTTCTTGCCAGTGGGTGAAATTATGTCCCTTTGAAAATCAATGACATTTGGGAATTCTTACGTGGTGTTAGTGTTCAGCCTTGGTCTGATCCTCCAATACAAATGTATTTTGTATTTCTTGTATATAATTTCCTTTCATGCAAACTAGATCATGTGGTTAATTGAGGAGTGTCACTGGAGACTGGCACTGTGAAAAGACAAGTGATGGGATTTTCCAGTTCATCCAGTCATTATGCAGGCATTATGCCCTTCTGCTTCTGAAGAACCAGGTTGTTTCTGCCGTGGGTAAGAGGCACAGCACTGACAAAGGGTGGGGTGTCCCACAGAGGCTCTAGTACCTCCTTCTGTCAGGATTTGTCCAGGATGCTTGAGGTTAGCAATAGCAGCAATTTTGAAAAAACAAAACACTGTTTTTTCTCTGACATGAGCCCGTTCAGGCAGGAAGACTGCTATGACAAGTATCCAAGAGGATAAGCATAGTGGTAAAAATATGTTTCTAGGATTAACTCCCCCATTCATGCAGTCATGTCTGAGCTGCTTGTAGGGAATTTCATTGCATCTGTTTACAAATGTCTCTCCCAAATTCAAGTGGGTATTTGCAGCAGAAATATCCCATTTGAGACATTTCTGCTTTAAATCATGCCACTTAATTTTACTGTGCCAGATTTTTTAAAAATCTCCTAATAGTTCATCACAGTTCCACAGAGTATATTTTATATGGGTTATTTTAAAGGTCTTCCAACTTAACATGTCAGCTATCTCTGACAGTAGGGATTGACTAAAATAGTCATCTCAGGATTGAAGAAATCTTTCTAAGTACTTCTCTAAATAATATTTTCAAATTTTTTTCAATTTACCTTTGGGTTTTTATTTCTCTGATAGAAAAAAACCCAGTTCCTGTCTCAGTTTTCAGTTACTGGTATTTGTTTTCAGCTCTTTTTGCCTTTAGTACCTCCTGGGTAGCAGAGAAATGGCATGCTGGAAATGCAACGAAGAGATAATAACAGATCACTCCAAGGACATTATCTATTCTGCTAACCATCTGACATACAGCAGGGAATAGAATATGACAATAAAGCATTTATCTTCTCCTTACTGAAACATTCATGGTATCAAAACAAAGTTGACTGTTGCTGGATGGACTAACATTACTTATCCTTTTTGCTACTGATAGTTACAGCTGCTATTTTTTTTTCTGCTCTCAGACTGCAGGATTTCAGGAGATTCTAACTGAAATTGAAATTTTAGCTTTGATTGTGGGATGCTTATGTCACGACCTTGACCACAGGGGAACCAACAATGCCTTCCAAGCCAAGTAAGCTTTCTAATTCTTACTATTTTAATTTGGTTTTCTTCCACGGGAGAGCAAAAGGTGACTGGGATAAAGAATGAAGCATTAATTTCAAGCCTTCTAGGCCAAGGCCAAGTACTCTTATTCCTGTGTGCAGTGAGGGACTATCCATCTTTATCATTCTCTGTTCCTTTAAGTAATTGCTGGCTTGTCCTTTGTAGCTGGCTGTTGAACTGACACCACATATTGAAATGTGGTGCCAAAACTTGATGTTCTTTTCAGTCTCAGCTATTATTGATTCTGGTTTTCAACCCAGAAAGCACCTAAATTGTCTGTCTGGGTTGTACTTGCTGACTGGGCTGCATGACATTAAGCAAAACCTTGTTCTGCTATTGCGAAGAAAAGAAAAGAAAAGAAATTAAGGAAAACTGAAATAATGCTTTCACAGAAACCATGCTGCTGCCCCTAGGCACACTGAAGTAGAAGTAGGTTTGTAGAAGGTTTAAGGGTGGTACTTTTTACTGTGTAGGTAGGGGAACTCCTCAGACTAAGGTAAAATTAATTCCAAATTCTGGGTTCCCTGGGAATAGGAAGGACAACAGAAAATGTCCCCAGCAACATCCTGGCCAAGCTGTCTAATAAAGCTGCCAGACACAGAGATTCCTTCAAATCCCATATTGTTTTCTTCACTACCCAGTTCCTCTACAGTCAGCATATGAGGCCCCAAGGCATGCAGGTCCTAGTGTGCATTTGTAGCTTTATCTGTTCTGCCTTACTGCTAATCCTCCAGTGTGATGGGGGAGTGGTCAAATGGTTCTCCAGAGATATTTGAAAGCAGAGGGATGCTGTATTAGCCTATTTTGTCCTACCTTTTGCAGAAGTACTCTGCTGCAGTGTGTGTATGCACGGGCTGCTGCATTTCTGGGGGCAAGTTGCTTCAGTGACCATCACTCAAACTGATGTTTCTGATGTTCACTAAGCTGCCATTTCCTGAGGTATTGGTGTTGCCATACAATCTCAATGAAACAATGACATTGTCTGGATCTTCAATCACCATAGCAGAGAAAATCAATTGCAGTGTTCAAAAGACAGAGCTCATGGTGCAAAGGTTACCAAGCACTGCTAGATGCCTTTTTGCAGCTGAGTCTTGAAGAGCTCAGCTGATTGATGTTATGTTCCTAATTTACAAAAAGGAGACCTAAGATTTACATCCTGGTCATTTTAGGCTCTGATTAAGTTAACCACTTCTTTGCTGTACCATTACACAAGAGTATCTTTAGAGCAGAGGGGTGGCTGAGTTAAAGGTACAGGTTTCAGCATTAGACTGCTATCACTCATACTTGTTGGTTGACAACAGGGTACAGAGAGGAGGCTACCGTTTTATGACTCCATAAAGAAACTGCTGAAGACATTTAATGAAAGACAAACATTACCACACATGTATAAAACATCCCTGAAAACAGAAGCTGTAGTTTTCATAACGCTAACTATGATTTATTCCTCTAACCTGACATAAATTTAAGCATCACATTTTCCTATTTTATCTTCAGTGCCCAACACTGCTGTTTTGTATGATGAAAGTTCAAGAGGTATATGATGGAGGCAATATCACAGTTGTCTCAAATGGCTCTGTTATATATGTCAACATCACATTCTCTAGGGATGATGTTTCCTGGACATCTTTTTCTCTCATATAGCTTCTTCTGATAATTAAGTATCAGTATGGTGCAGCTTTATGGTATATGCTCCTAGGAGACTCCTTCTGTTTCTAGCATAATCCTTATTCTCATTTCTTTGGAAAGAAAACCCAACATCTCACTTTAGGCTGGGTCCCAGAAGTGAAGTACTTTGTCTGAACTACTTTGGTACTTAGTGAACAGTGACCATTCTGACAATTCAGTCCCATTCTCTGCATTTCCCAGCGATTTCCAATTTTATAATATTATTCCATATACTTTTGTCCTTTAAGCATAGAAAACCGACCTGCTCTGTGTATTTTGAATCTGATTTTGGTTGAGACAATAAATGTGATGAGAAAATACATTCTAGAGATAATGCTAAGCTTTACTTTTATATTCACTACTCTCACTTGTGGCATTTTGTTTACCTTAGTATATGCAGTTGGATTTTTTGTTGTGTTTTGGGGTTTTATTTTAGCAGTTTGTAGTGGCCCATTGTAAGCCCTCATGTTTATGTATATTAAGAATTAAAAATGAAAGGTAGCAAGGGAACAGCTGATCCCAGCTCAAGGATATTACTGTGTGTCTTTACTGCACACTTCTGTGTCTGTGCTGTTGCTGAGGCACTTTGAAAAGTGCATTACAAAATTTCTTGTAGTTCCAGAAAAATCTTCATTCAGCTGGCAACATTTAGCAAAGACTGGAACAGAAATGCTTTGTATCTGGATTTAAATTAGTATTTTGACCTCATCAGCTGTCTTAAGTGAGGTTGCTGAAGTGAAGGTGGAGTGTGGCTATGTGCTTTTGTCACTAAATTGTCTCTGAAACCTGCTTCGTAAGCAGATGAGCAGGATTTGTTGACTTCCCATGTTCTGTTTCAGGAGTGGATCAGCCTTAGCTCAGCTCTACGGCACCTCTGCTACTTTGGAGCACCACCATTTCAATCACGCTGTCATGATTCTCCAAAGTGAGGTACAAAAGCATTACTATTAATCTCACTGTAAGCTGTTGGGCAGTTTCAGCTGGAGAAAAGAAATACCATGTACAGTACCTTTTTAATGCCCTCTCCTTGAGGAATTATTTATTGGTTACCACAAAGGTCACAACTAGCACAAAATTAAACAACTACAAATGCTGATCATAGAGCCCAGAGATTATATCTGTCTCTATCAGCAAGGGACAAGGAGAATACATCCTAATCATATTGTCAGCTTTTCTCACTTTTCTTACGTATATCCTGCTCAGTGGTTTATAGGCAGCTGAAACGGGAGCTTACCTTTCCCCACAGATGTCATATTCAGAGCATCAGAGCCATCCTTTACTGTACCAATTCAATTTCTTTGGCAGCCTTTCTGTAATCAGTATTTTTATGATTTTTTCATTATTTAAGACACTATTTTTTAAAATTAAAATCAGTAATATCATGCTGTCCAAAGTATGTTAATTGCTTTGCAGATATCTGTGAAGATATAGCTGTTGCCCAAAATACCTTGCATCTAACACTGTACAGCATATACTACACTTTTTATTTAATAACTGAGAAAAGTGGAAGGATGGACACGGAGTCCTTTCAGAACAATGGATGCATTTTCTTAATTTACATTACTAAAATGCATTTAGTAAATATAAAACCTAAACTGCTGTTCATGCAGCACAATTGCAGACCATAGCCTGATCTGCAGTACCATCTGAAGAGATCTGGAATGTCTCATGATCACAGTCAAATGGGAACAGGGCTATGGCTTTACCTCTGTGTACACTGCCAGGGAGATCTGTCATGGAACTGCACCTCCCCAGACCTTATCTCATATGTCCTCATACCATCATGATTATAGTAACCCTGTTGCTGGAAAATCTTTGTTTTAAGGGCATTTTAATCTTCCTAAGCAGTAGATGGCAGTGCATACTGAATGTGGGCACTACAGGACTAAACATCACCAAAATAACACTCTGTTTAGAAAGTACTTCAATATTTATGTAGGTGATTAGAGAAAAAAAGACTGTAATACATTTATGTTTGTTAATATATGTGACTATTGTCACAAATATAATTTCTTAAGCTTACATTTAGTTTTTCATTAATTTTGTTTCTTTCATCTTATTTTCTCGAGAATTTCACAGAGGAATTACAGGATCTCTGTCTCTTTTGTTTTCATAAATTCAGTTACGAAAGAACCTTCCCTGTCTCAAATAGCAATATCAAATTATTAATTTCCTTTAATTTTGGCCATAGAGCATCTTTCAAATTCTTAATCCACAATACCTTAAAAAACAGCCAGTTGGGCCCACAAAGGGTGTTTAAACTGCATATAAAGTTGTGGTTCTTTAGCCCACATAGGCAATGCAGTTTACACTGTAGGACAAGACAGTAATGGGCAGAGTGAGCAAATGGGCTGCTTTGAATGAAAAACTGATTTAGTGTCCTTGACTGCTCTAACAGCAGTTTGTGTGCATGCAAGCAGCAGCACAGATAAATCTATTGGGATCACTACTCAAAAGCTCCAGTACACAGCTCCCCAAAACATTTAATGAGATGAGAGATTGAGATGTATCCATAGTTTTTCCCCATAAACTGAGTCTGTGCAGGGTCAGAGCAGAGAGTAAATCTTTATTCGACAGGCTATAATTTCAGCAGAGTTTAGAAAAACATGTGCTTGATAACAATTGTCAGCTCTTCTGCCTCAATGTAATCTCAGCAGTATTAACATTATTATTTTGTCATAGTTGTGCCATGAATCCGAAAAGGCTTGTGTTACAGGGAAACAGTAGACTAACAAGTTAGAAAACCTTTTAAAAACCTGTATTGATTGTTAGCCTTTTACCTCTTTTATCTCTTTCATTATAGGGTCACAACATCTTTGCTAACTTGTCCTCTAAGGACTACAGTGACCTTATGCAGCTTCTAAAGCAATCGATATTGGCAACAGACCTCACTCTGTATTTTGAGTAAGTATTGGCATTTCTGATATTTGATGAATGAAAATTCAGAGAACTTACTCTAATGACCTATTAAATACCAATAAGGATATATAATAAGGGGAATTAGTGTTTAGCTATGGTTGAAGAGGTTTAGTCTAATACTTAGTATCTTTTACACTAATAGAAATATCTCAAGCATCCAAGTAAGTTTTGCTTTAATGTGTAACATGTCTGAATCAACCAAAAGCAAGTGAAATCCTAGGTTTATACTTCAAAGCAATCTCAAGAACCAGTTACAGCTCAGTCCATAATTTTTCTCTCCCTTCTATGATCATTTCTTCAGGCCTATAGAAAATCAATTACATTTGAGAATTCTTTTCCACCATTTCAGCATTTCTAAACATGTATGCTAAGAAAGATTGTATTTAGCTACAGACCCAGTTTCAGAGGTAACAAAGCAGACACGTTGCTGCTTTGATGACAAATTATGCCAATTCACATCACATGATGAGAATAGGTCTTAAAAAGCTTAACTGGGAAAAATACGCTAGGATCTCTCTCACCCAGTTTTCTTCCTTTTCCTTGTTTGTAAAACAAATCTCAAAGTAGATTTCCAAGTTGGTCCTGTATTTCAAATATTGTTAATTATTACCAAGCTCACCCCAGTGAGGATGTGTGGGAGGATGCATGTAGTCAGCCTGTGGCTGACTTAGGGGCAGAAGTGCTGGCAGATGTGCAGTTTCAGTGCACTGCCTTCCCAGCCTGGACAATAAGTCATCCTTAGGAATTTTTGTGTGGTGTCCATTAGCATCCTATCCTCTTTCTGCCACGTCTCAAATGAAAGGATTACAGTTGTACCAGGAGAAGTTTAGCTTTGGTTAGACATTGGAATAAATTGTCGGGGGAGATGGTGGGGTCACCACCTCTGGAAGTATTAAAGAGTTGTCTTGATATGGTACTTAGGGGGAATCTGGTTTAGGGGGGATTATGGTGGTACTGGGTTGATGGTTGGACTTAATGACATTGAAGGGCTCTTCCATTCTGTGAGATACAAGAACCACAGGTCTTCTTGTCTCATCATAAATAAATGCTGCAGAAATGTTTTGTGCTCTCAAGGAGGAGATGAGTGACAGGGACTGAGAGGACAGCTGCCCTGGCACAGCTCCATGTGCTCCCCCTGGCTGAGATCCTGGAGACCCTGGAGGAGCCAGAGAGGGCTCATGGCAGTGCCTTGGGATAGACCCTGTTCAGACCCAGATGTGATGAAGCTCTCTTCCCTGCCTGCCTTAAGCTGAAAAACTGTGTAGTCAAGTTGTTTTTCTAGCTTTAATACAGAGAAATAATGTCCAAAAGGGATATAACTGAATTTCAAGATTATTTTTTCTTACTTGCATAATTGATTTTTCTGTGCTGTATGAATCAGAAGACTTTTAGCAAATGAGGCCTCTTTACTCAAAAGTCTGCAGATAAATTATTTTTTCCTCTTGTGTTACTACGATTCATTAAGGAGGTGGTAGCTATGCTAATTTATTTCCAAAAGTGCCTGAAAATCACTCTCTAGAAACATTGAAACATAGAAACATTGGTGCTTTACATTTCTTAAAGCCACCCTATGTGAACAGGTATTTCTATATAAGTACCAGATTCATTTCTTCGGTTTGCTACATCTTCAATATTTTTGTAGAGAGGAGAATTCTCATATCAGTGTTCTTAAAATGACTCAACCTAATGATCACAAGCTCCAGGTAGCAAAACAGCAACAAAACTCCAAGCAGAGCAAGGCTTTACTTTCCAGGCCTTTTCAAGGCATTACTTTTATAAAAACAAACAAAAATATGATTTTCACTGAAAGATCAGATGGAAAATAGATTTGATTTTAGCTTATAATTTTAGATAACAATACTTGTAGATAATACAACAAGTAAAAGCATGGAACCAGTGCCAGAAAAGACTACAGATTATGAAGAATCGGAATTTTGATTCTTAAAGGCAACAATCAATCATTAACATGTTCTGTCCATCTCACATTTTGTCCCTGTTTGAGGACATGAAGAAGGCATGAAGAGACAAACCATGGAACCAAGCAGGCAGACCTAGTTTCCAGTCTATAAGAACTATGCACTCAAGACAGCAGCAGCTCCCGTGTGTCTCTGTTTCTTTCTGTGTGCTTACAGAAATGTGTTCTTTCCTGCAATTCCATGGAATTGCCTGGCTCTGAAAAACCCTTCAGAATATAAAAGTAAAAACCATTTTGCAAGGACAAGAAATCAGAAGCATGTGTGTATTTCTGGGGTGTTTCTATTGTCTGTCTGTCCACTGCTGTAGGTGAACATTTCATGCTTCCATGGAAGACTGAACATTTCAGAGCCATTCATTTCCTTATCTGTGGAGACCATAAATCCAATATTGCTTTTACTAGGCAACTCTGACACTGATAACAGACATTTATAGAACATGTTCGGAAATTAGTATGTTTCGCTTAAATGGACTGTCAGTGTAACGGCTTTAACAATAATACATGAGGTGCAGTGATTCCATATCACACACAGAACTGTGTTTCTGCTGCAGTGCTGCCCTGCAAGTGTCTTGTTTCCTTCTCTGACAATCTGGGTTTTTTTTCAGGAGAAGGACTGAGTTTTTTGAACTTGTCAGTAAAGGTGGTTATGATTGGAATATAAAAAACCACCGAGAAGTATTTCGGTAAGCACTGGTTTTCCTTGCTCTCTGTTTTTTTCAAAGTGTAGCCATATTTGTTAAAGGAATTTCATGTATTGTGGACTGAAGGCTTAGAATAACAAGAAAAAATATCTTGTTTTTAAAATACAATCCGTGAGATATGAAATATATGGTTTTAATCAACATGATTCCACCTTCTCCATTTCTGTTTCTCCTACACACTCAGTCCTGTTTCCTTCCTTTCTCCCATCCTCACCAGTTCCTGTTCAGTCCTTCTGCTCTTTTTCCAGAAAGTATCAATATTCTGCCTCTCTACATAAAGATCTTTCCTGTCTGTTTCCCTAATTCTTCTTCCTCTCATCTGTCTTTTTTCACTGGCCATGCACTCCTCTGCTCTTCCAGTCTGTACCTGGGAATTTTCATATACAGAGTACTCTTCCAGCCCTCAAGAATGGCCTGAGCATGTATCCTATTGAAAACCTCGGGCATTGTGGGTGGTTTGAGTAGATCACACTTTGCAGACAATAAAATGTGTGTATTTGCATATGCATGCCTGATTATGTCTCATTTTATCTGAAATTTCATTAAAATTCTGTTATCTTTTGGTCTTTTGACAAAATATTGGCCATTTTCTATTTTCCATACCATTTCACCCATTCCTAATTTTAGATTCAGGCAATATATTTGATGCTTCATTTTCAGTGCCCTTGTTCTTCATTTAAACTTTCTTAGACTTTTATCTGCATCATGTACTGTACATAAACGCTTTCTACAGCTGAATGGTTTCTTTCTCCTAATGCATATAAAACATGGTTGTAGCTAGGTATTAAACTACAGTGGAACCATATAGCTCATAGTAAATCTTCAATTTTTATTGTAGATGAGCAGTAGAAACTGCTTAAACAGTGTCTGGGATGCCTCCTGTGATTATAGGCTCTCTTGCTACAGCAGTCACTTACAAATAGGCATATAAATTAATCCAGTTGCAGGTGTTATTATGTAATAATACCCTTACTTATATCATGTGAAGCACATGCTTCCTAATATATTATAGGTATTAATGTAAGTAGTGTTAGAAGTATTGCAAAATTAGCAGTTACTCCCTTCTAATATCATTTCTTTTCTAGTGTGCAATGCACAGTACCAAAATTCATCATCTTATGACCTGCAACACACTAGGTTTCCGAGGCACAATTGTAATGTAAAAACCATGCTGATGGCTAAGATTTCAAACATGTCATTCTTTTCTGGAGGAAAAGAAGGTGCCAGGGCTGACATTTTATATACATATTATTTATTTATGCATCCAGAGCAGAGTTGTTTAGAAATTCAACAAAGGTTGATTCAGCTTGTATTGTTCATTTCTGTTTTTCAGATCAATGCTAATGACAGCCTGTGACCTTGGAGCTGTGACCAAACCGTGGGAGATTTCAAGACAGGCAAGTCATGATTAATAGCAGGGCTGGGAGGAGGCGGGACTGGTAGGACAATATTCCCAGGGCCCTGGCTTACAGGGGACCAAAACTGGAATCAATTTACAACGGTATTAATGCTATAAAAAAATAGCAGGGGGTTTCTGCAAAAAAATGGTTTATTGCGTAATCTTTCCCTGTACACATGCTGGTGTGTACATCTGGCTTTACAACCTCTCCTCTTACTAACATTTTTAATCCATATCAAAAAATGGATGGATTAAACAAAAAAGGCATTTAGTCACATTTAGCTGCATTTATTTGTTTCATCCCATACTTTTCCTTGGCAGTGGCCGTCTTCCCTAAATAAAAAATACCAACAGATTATCTGAAAATTTTCATTAGAATAAAATCTTCAGTATATATGATAAAATAAATGTTTTCTTAAGGATGTTGCAACACTCCAAGCATAGTATAGGGCTTTCTTTAACATCCTGTGCTTAGAAACCAACAAATAAAAATTCATGGTTCTGCTGCTGAGTAGAACTACTAATCTGGAGTATTTAATTAGAAATATACATAGAAAATGGATCCAGAATTAGCAAACAGGTACAATATGAGAAAGCAATCCAAAACTCTTTTCCTTTGCCCCATGATTTTCCATCTTCTAGACATCCTTCTCTACCCAGAAACCATCCTTAATATTTCCAGTATCCATGCTAGTCATTCTCTGTCCTTCACTGAAACCCAGAACAAGCCAGGAGAAGACAGACTGTGTCAGGTTTTGGAGGAATTGATAGCATCAAGAAGCAAATTGAAAATATACCAGTGCAGCTGGGTTTGGGTACACACCTGGAGGAAGTTTGGTGTAACAGCAAGTAATAGTTATTAAGATGGGGTGAAAAAGAGAAAGCTAGGCCAGATAACGTGATGCAGGAGCAGCCAGATTCCTTGGACAAGGAAGTAATGCAAGCTGAAAGGGATCTACAGAAGCACATCAACTGAATAAAAAAAACATTTATTGGGGGAGGGCTTCACCTCAGCTTTCAGTTTTGCCAGGTGAGGTTTTTTGCTTTATCAGCAGACTGTGGCAAAAGTTCTTCTAAGGCTGTTGGTCTACTTGGCCAGAATATTGCCACTTCATATGGAAATCAGGAAAGTTGCTTCTATCCTGCAGTGGGAAATTGAGTAACAAGATTTTTTCAGTGCCGCCTGGCCACTGCTGCAGTGTGTGTAATCCCTCCCCATTTTTCCTCCTTAGCCCAGTTAGCTTCTGCATTTTCATTGACAGCCAAGTTGCAGGTAGGGTCTGCTTTCCTAGCAGGGAATCTTTGTGCTATGCTGCTGAATTAGTGTTGGAGTCTCTGGCAAACTGGACATTTTTGTGCTTATCACTTTTGAGGTCGACAGGTAAAAAGTCCCCTGCAGCTTAGTTATACAGGTTTACTTTATACTGAAAAAGCCAGTCTGGGATTTCTTGAAACATTACCTGGTTGAGCAGAAGTGCTAATAAGTCCACAGAGGCAAAACAGGAAATAGTAGAACCTTAACTGTGCCAGAAGAAAAAACCAAACATATTTGAAAAAAGGGAATAAAGGCTACATGTTAGACAGAAAAATTCAGGAAGAGAAGATTGAAACAGATAAAGGAAGAAAGGGACATGAGGAGAATAGGATCAGAATAGCACTGAGGGACAGGGATGATACTATGTCTTGATTATTTTTATGCAATACACTTAGTAAACCCTTAGTTGTTGATAAGTTGTTAAATTATTCCTCTATTTGAAATATTGATCTGGGATTTTATTAATACACTGTATTACATACATTATAAAGTTCCAAACTATGATAGCCTGCCTTAAGATTTAAAAGTACTTTACAACATCACCTACTTCCAAATTATTTTGGTACTCCTTATTTCAACTAAATAAGCTTAGCATTTGTGAACATTACCTACCATACAGTTGCTAGAGCAAGAAGTTTTGAGATTTTATGAAGTACAGGTTCTCTGCTTAGTTTACTCTCTCGTGCCTTGGCATTATGAAATAATTCCTAGCTTAAAAACAATACTCTAGCATGACAGGAGTTTTAGGATGTGAATGCCTCCTCAGTAGATAGGCTTCCAGTTTTTCTGCACCTCAAAATGTTGCATGTGCTTACATTCAAAGCCTCACACATGGCAAGAGTACAGAACTATATCAGAACTGCTTACTGTCTGACTTCCTAAAATTCCTCTGGTTTCCATAACTATATTTATTTTTAAGTCTTCTCTACTTCTAAGAAGCACAAACCTCTGCAGTAAATAGAACATCTTCATTCACAAAAGTCAGAAAGATGCATTCTAAGTTTTAACCACTTCTTGATTTTAAATCAAGATGATCATCACAATCTGAGTTCATACTTAGATATCCAGATCCTATAGTGATGACAGTCACCAGGAAAAAAATAAAGCCTAGTGGGGGAAAAAACCCTTCATGAATTCACATTAGATTAAACAACAGAGGATATTGGTTCATTAAGTTTCTTCGATAAGTAAAGTTGTTATTATAACAGAGAGCTCTTGCATGTTCTAGAAAACATTTTTATAAACAAAATAGTGGATGCCAACAAAAAGCTATCATTTTCTGTTTTGGTCTCAGTTCTTGAGTAAGTGACTTATAACTGCATTGAGAGCTACCTTGGCATTGCAATGTGATTCCCCAAGTCAATTCTCTATCAAAAAGGGGTAAGTCCATGTGCCTGACTATGGCTGTTTATACTCCCTGTAGGCCCAGTCCCAAACACTGTATGAACACGTGCCTGATGTCAGTCCTGTTAGTGAGGTCATTCACTTATTTAAGCACAGGCTGGAATCATGGTCTGACCTCATCATCCTAAAAACTCTAAAAAAACCTCACTATCCTAAAAATTATGTAACAAGAACTCTAATCTTTATCATAATTTTTATTTTAGGCAGCTGAGCTGGTAACCAGTGAGTTCTTTGAACAAGGAGACAGAGAAAGATCTGAACTCAAACTCACCCCTTCAGTAAGTTATTATCACTTCTGAAATAGTTACTTACTCGAATAGAGTAAGAAAATTTCATTGGGCTCATTCAGAAAAAGATAACTGTATTTTGTACACAAAGAGAAACCTTAGAATAAATAAAAGCTCTGTCCAGTAAGGATATGCATTTATAACCACATATAAAAGCTCTCCAGTCAACACAGTCACTTTTGCACTGAGCCCTTTTACCGGTTTTCTGTATATGTTCCTAAAGTTATCCTATCAGTGTATTTTCTAAGCAGCAGGTGTTGAGTTTAATACACAGAATTGAACTAAAAAATCACAGCTATTTATGGAAATCAAAACTGTCAGGTTTACTTTATGTTGCAGCTGTATGTCTGTGTTATTTGAAATGCATTTCTATAAATTTACATGTAGTACTGTGATTGAAGGAATAAATTGGAATTGAGTGGAATATAGGCTGAGGGTACAAAGTGTCGAACAAGAACTAGGAAAGTTTCATAAAAATTTTCACTAAACATTTAGAAGAGAAAGCCTTATCCAAGTTAAATAACTCAAAACGTTGAGCAGCCATTACCTGGAGGCAACAGGAGAAGAATAACAAAGTTTTCTAAAGAATTTAACTGTGAGGGAGAGAGAGCCAGCCCAGATCCATCGCTGTTTTCCTGAGTTGGAAAACCCTACGTGAAAAAAGAGAAAATTCTACTCAAGGTATCTACATTCCTACAGGAGGTTATTTACCAGCTCAACTCCAACTGTGGAGTATTTATCTTACACCACAGAATTACAAAACACAAATACATTCAGCCTAAAAGTTTCAAAACAGAATTGAAAACAAACAGTTTGTTTTTCATGTCAGACAAAGCAGTAGAAAGACAGCTGCAAAGATTGATTATAGTTTACAAAGCCTTCTGGTTGTGATAATTTGATCATAGCTGCAAAGTGCTGGATGATGTGTCTGTAAAATACTCCAGTGTAATTAAAGCATGACAGTTTTGTTTTCTTCTCAATTCAGGCCATTTTTGATCGGAACAGGAAACATGAACTACCAAGGTTGCAGCTTGAGTGGATTGATAGCATCTGCATGCCATTGTATGAGGTAATTTTTACTTACTGCTACTCTAGAGTCCAGAGAAGATTGTTCTTGTCTCTTTAGGGAAAAAGAGCTAGCTTTCAGAGCAGCCTTGAAGGCTATTTGAACTCTTATCTTACTTAGACTTTCCCAAAAGTCTGAATTGCATGCAGAAATCTTCAGATTCCCTGAAGGTGGTAATGTCTGTAAACGTAATTCCTCTCTAAGTTATAAAAGCTGATAGGGCAATTGTTTACTTTATTATGTTTGAGACAAACTGATTCTCATCATGGTGAGGTATTGAGTGCTGCACAGAGATGTGCCAGAGGGACAGTCTCAGTAGGTGCTGTCAAACTTGACCAAATCTGTGTGACCCAAAGGGAAGCTCAAGCCTGAGCCTTTTCACTTTCTTCTGGCACCTTCCCAAACTGCTAAGGGCACTCTAGGGCCAGTGACAAAAAATTTGTTGTTGAACCTGTGCTGTTTAACTCAGTTTTAATGGTGCTTCTACACAGACTGCCCGGGTGCTTGGCACACGGTATGTAAATGCCCAAGTACTCCTTTATTAAGGCTAGAGATAACCACAGAATCATAAAGGTTGGAAAAAGCCTCTAAGACCCAACCATTAATCTGATACTGCCAGGTCCATGCTAAACCATATCCCTAAGCACCACATCTACAGGTTTTTTTAACGCTTCCAGGGACAGTGATTTCACCACTTCGCTGGGCAGCCTTTTCCAATGCTCGACCACCATTTCACAAAGAATTTTTTCCTACCAGAACAATGCTTCTGCCTTTTTGGATTAAACAGCTTCAGGATTGACTGAAACCACACAGTCTGCCTTATGCCACCAAAAACTGACTGGCTACTGATACCTGAGAAAAGAGGAGGATGTTCTCATTCAGCATCTCTTCGGGGAACTGCAACAAGTTCTTCCTGTTCCCACCACACCCTAAACTGCCTAAGACCTAAAAGCAATTAATGGGTCAGTGATGATACACAGCAATAACAGCTCCCATGTTAACCTTAAAATTATCAAGCTGTGCCTGAATGTAGCTTCCCTACACACAAATAAAAATGGATTGGCAGCTCCTTTCATTTTATAGACCAGATATAAAACCAATATCATACAATAAGGACATAAGAAGGCCCATAAGAGGGACAAAGTGCCCTCTCCCCTCTATACCTTGTGGTATCTGAGGCTGCCACGTGGAAAAAATGAAATTACTATCCAGCAGCAATGGCAATTCCTGTTGTGTGACACGGAGAACAGACACTTGTGTAAACAGTAAGCCAGGCTGCTGCTTTGCCAAGAGATTCTGTCCCTTTCTGTCAGTCTTTGTCCTGATGAAATAAACTACAGCTACCGTTTTCAAACAATTAAGGCAAAGCAAGCACAGAAGAAGAATATACACCTATACTGTTTAAAAGACCAAGATCATTTTGGACAATATGGGGGAGGGATGATGGACACTGAGCTTAGACAGACACTCTTTAAAAATAATGTTCCTTTCAATAAAATAGTTCTTATTACACTAGAATGCATATTATACCAGAATTCATTATTTCTAATAGCATCTGTAATCCAAAAATGTACAGTAAAGCAGGAAGAGCTGATAATCAGCCCATCCTCTGCATGAGGAAACTACATCTGAGCACTAAAGCTCTGGTTAGTTAGCTCCATCTTAGCAGGAGATCTCTGGGGAATATATTCACATCTGATTTCCCTGCTTTCCACTATGTTTGCATCATGCTGTGCAGCCATTAGCCTGCTGCTCAACAACTTAAAAAAGAGACACCATCAAACCTGGAAGTCATAGCAGCACCAGCCTTAGGGGTAAACAGAAAACTTGATGCCACAGCATCACACTGCAGGAGATTCTCTCTTCAGTGTGGAGCCAAGTTTTAATTTTCATATCCAGCTTAATCAAACTTCAATACACATATCCCATCAGCAGAGAATTCAGGCATTGTAAATCTGCTGTTTAGGGCTGGCTGAACACTACAACTCTGGCCATATCCTAGATTTTGGGTTGGCAGGGTTTTTTAACATTCTTTAAAATTCTTGCCATTTTAGTACATTGTAGGAACTGCTTGTGAGGAGAGAACAGGTTATATCATTACAAATGCAATATAAAGAGATGCAGTGGCAGCTGATAAATCAGTAAAATATTAGCAGTACTCCTATAGCTCACTACCACAGTACTTTGAAAAAACATTTTGAAAAAGCCTACAAAATTACAACATTGAACCAAAGAGAACAAAATGAAGGCTTTTGTATTTAGTTTTTTACATGCTAATGATTAGAAATCCTGAATCCACATGGGATTCTATGGCATCCAGAGCCCCAAAAGGAATTCTGTGGGGAATGCACCAGTCCCTACCAATGCAGTTGCTAGAGGAGGACCTAATGCTGTGCTCTGTGTTATTTCATACACACACACAGCAGAGATGATCCTAGCAACCACTGAATGCTGGCAACTCCCATTAAAGTCTAGGTGAGATGAGCAGAGCTCCCTGAAATTGTCTTTGCTCAACGTAATTCCCAAGAGCAGGCTATTCCTGGCACCTGAGGACATCTGAAGTATGCAGTCATGAAGGAATTTCACAGTCCAAACTTCCAGAAGTGCCTGATACCACCCCAGTGCCTCTCACAGTATGAGAACAAACTGTATCCTGTCTGTAGTCCAAGCTAACAAACTAGGCTACACCAGCGTGCCTATGAGGAGTGGTTCATACTTAAAACAATATCTAAACTTTGCAGCACATTTAGGTATGGCTTTTCTAGAATTCTCATTTTCCTCAGTTCTGAAACCTCTTTTGTGGAGATTTGGCTCTATCTGTTCTGCTTTCTGCATTTCCTGAAGGCAGCTCAAGACAACTCCCTTGGAGGTGCAGTAGTTCTCCCAAGTAAAAGGTAATGAAGTCTCCTTTATTGGGGAACATGGATCACATCCCTCTGCTTACCTGCCTTACCTGTCCCTGAGTTTGGCCCCTTTTAGTGAGAAGGTTTACAGGTGACTAGCGAATCAACAAGATCTATGCAACTTCCATTAGCAGTCCTGTCTGACTGCCCCTTGGAATACCCATCCCATCCAGAAGAAAGATCAGTGATATATAAAATGTACTAAATTTACTACACCATGAGCTACTGTAAAGACTGAAGGTGGATATAGCTATATATATATTTATATTTATATTTATAACTAATGTCTGGAATTATGCACAATTCTCCCATATCTAAGTGTCTAAATCCAAAACCTTTGTGCTTGCTCTGTAAACCTGACTGCTCCTGGCACAAGGTCAGCCATGGCTCTGCTCCCTTGCTCTCTCCCCTATCTGCTGCTCAATGTAGGAAACAAGTCACCTCCAATTTCATATCTTAGTAATCAAATCCATTTCCTTCACACCGTGGATCAAAGGTCTGTGAAGATAAAAGCATCTCAATTTTTTGTTCATTGCATTTTATTACACTTAGGACATTATACTTTTATTATTTACTTTTTTTGTTACTGTGGCGGTCCCAGATCAGAGTATTTTTATGCAACAGTGGAGCTTTTGCCTTGAGTAGCAGAACAGCAACCCATTTACACTGAATCTCAGATTTTAGGGGCTTTAGTTACACTTTACTGCATCACATTTGCTCTTCATTCAAAACTGACAGTAAGAAAAGCATTTATCAGTAGAGATGAGAAACAAGTTTATTAGAATAATAATTTCTAAAGAAAAATGCAGTTTTTTGAAACTGTAGAATATTTCAAACAGCAGCTTCAATATAATCAATCCCTTGTTTTGTTAGAATATCCTATAAAAAGGAGGTACATGCAACTAAAGCAGAAAATTTGAAGCATCCCACTGAAAATAAAGCACAATGGCTTTGCTGACTGCTGTGTTGGCTGTCACAGAGAAAGTATTCTGTACCTATTTATAAATGTTTGTGTAATGGGAAACAGAATTTTGATCATTAAGACAAATTATCTCTCTGACCCGCCAGTAAAGAGATGCTAAGAGTTTCAGCACTAACAGATTCCTGTTCTGGACTCTGTCATTTGTGTCTACCTAAAACGGAATCAGTCACAGATTTTTCCCAACTCAGATTAGATTTCTCTGTGGGGAGCACATAGAGCCGGAGAGTGAAGATCTTATTCTTTGAAATCATTATATTTCTCACAAACAACATCAAAGCTTCAGCGATTCACATCAAACAAAAGATGCTAACAGAAACCCAGCTCTGTTCAGGGCATTGTTAGGCAGAGACAGTAACACTGTGAATAGCAGGGCCAAAGGCCATGCACTCTGCTTCTGGGCAGATGAATACATAGTCAGGTAGTCAGTGACAATGACAGCAGCTATTTAAATTTAAGAGAGATGTCTTTGTGGAAGATAAAGAAGCTCATGGCTTTTACAACTTATGCCTGCCTGAGATTGCCCTGCTCACCTCTACCTTGGTGCTCCCTTGAACTGCTCCATTTTAGTGCTATTTTTAGAGCTATTCAAGATTTTCTTGGGTATTGAGAACATCAAGCATATAATAGTATCTACAGAATTGAATTTGCATTACTCCTTCCAGAATCCTAGGGGGAACCTGGGAAGAGTAGAAACATTTGGCCTAGCAAGTACTTTAAATATTTTAAATGTAATGTGGAGGGACAGATTCCTTCTTTATCACACTGTCTGAAGTACTTAGAAAAAAAGGTAATCGCTCTGTCTGCAACTCCAAGAGCTCTGATATTCCTATCTTCCTACAAAAGATAATGTCTGGCCTTGTAATTAAATGTATTTGCTGTCCATGAAAATGTAGGTGCAAAACCATCTATTCTGCCTGTAAACTTAGATTAAATGCACAGGGTGTCATAAATGGTAGAGCCTCTACAAAGCACAGAAAAATACACAAATTTTAAACAGTCATGGCTTTCTGTGTTTTTTCTCTGGATCAAGAGTTGACTTTGACACTTGAATTGGAAGTACATACACACATCATGATTTTTTTTCTAAAGTATATACTGTACTTGAAATTATTAGATAG